GGGGGCGGAGTGTGCAGGACGAAGAGACCTGAGTGGGGCTCTCTGGTGAACGTGGCAAGAACTGCCCCGGTGGAAGAGTCCGTACAGATCGCAGTCCTCCCGTGCGCAGGAAAAGTGACTGTGATCCCCCGGTCCTGAAGGTATCCAACACCCACCAAGTTCCGAGAGAACGAGGGGATGTAGAGACCAGTGAGGAAACCAGAGGGGACAGCCGGGCACGGGAGGGTGGTCGAGCTACGAGCAACTGCTGGTCCTGAAGTAGGATCAGCCAGGGCAACTGGGACTGGAGCCGAAAGAGGTGTGACAGTGGTGTGGTCGCGGAAGAAACACTGAGACGCGCCGGAGTCCAGCGTGAAGGAGAGCGACGCAACAGCAGTCGTCACGGCTGGGCTAGTGACTACACAAGCACCTACACTAAAAGCACAAGTACCGACACTAGCAACAGGCAAAGGTCCTAAGCTAGGTACACGTAAGCCAAGAGATCCGTACGTGACAGAATAAACAGCATCCATAGACATATCAAACACAGGGAAACCACTACGAAACAGACCGGGCCAGATCGGGGGAGCCGACTCAGGCCCAAAACGCTCACGGTAAAGGTCGTCGAGGCGGCTGTAGCAGCGCTGTGCATAGTGGTCAGGACGCCAGCAGGTAGTGCCAGCACCAGGGCCGGTCAGGATCCGGTACTGGCAGGGGCCGACGTCGCGGCCACCGCGACGAGCCCCCCAGCTGGCTGGGCCGCTGCTGCAGCCAACGCGACCTGAACCACCAGGCCCCCATGGCTGCTGAGGGCGCCACAGCTGCTGAGGGCGCCCCTGCCGCTGCGGAAGCCACTGCTGAAAAGGCCGCTGCTGCTGTCCTTGCTGCTGGAGAACCCTAGCGGACTCCATGATAAAAGCTAGCGGGGTGCAGGAGCGGCAGGCTAGGAGCGACAGGAGCGACAGGCTGCTGTGAAAAACGAGAACAACTAGGAGCGCAAGGTGAAACCAGGCGAGTAACTGCTGGAGCACGGAGCGAACTAAGCTAGGAGCGCCAGGTGAAACTAGGCGAGGAACGGCTGGAGCACGGAGCAAACTGAGCTAGAAGCGCCAGGTGAAACTAGGCGAGGAACGGCCGGAGCACGGAGCAAACTGAGCTACGAGCGAGGAGCGAGAACGGCTGGAGCTAGAAGCGGCGAGCTAGGGCTGGCTGGAGGTAGGAACGGCCGGGGCTAGAGACCGTAAGTGCGGCTGTCGGCTGCCACTAGTAGAGCCACTGGCAGTGGAAAGTACGTGCGACAGTAGGGGCTGCAGTACTGACGGCTGCGGGATGTAGGCAACTGTGCAGGTCGTCCGGCAAGCAGGAACGCGGGCGACAGTCGCAGGCCCCCACTGTGAACCCCTTTTTTTTTTTTTTTTTTTTTTTTAGGGTTTAATTTATTTATTTATTTTCTGGCACTAAAGCACCCCGGGGCGCGCTGCCTGCAGGGTGTGCTGCCTGCGGGGCGCGCTACCCGCGGGGCGCGCCTCCTGCGGGGCGCGCTACCCGCGGGGCGCGCTACCCGCGTGGCGCGCTGCCTGCGGGGCTGGGGTGACGAGCCAGGGAGGGCGCCTGGGCGACGGGCTAGGACGGGCGCCTGGGCGACGGGCTAGGGCGCAGGCCTGGGCGACGGGCTAGGGCGGGCGCCTGGGCGACGGGCTGGGGCGGGCGCCTGGGCGACGGGCTGGGGCGGGCGCCTGGGCGACGGGCTGGGGTGGGCGCCTGGGCGACGGGCTAGGGCGGGCGCCTGGGCGACGGGCTAGGGCGGGCGCCTGGGCGACGGGCTAGGGCGGGCGCCTGGGCGACGGGCTAGGGCGGGCGCCTGGGCGACGGGCTAGGGCGCAAGGGCGCGGAGGGCGCGGAGGGCGCGGAGTGTGCTAGGGCGCAAGGGCGCGGAGGGCGCTAGGGCGCGAGCTAGGCTAGGCTAGGCGAGAGGATCGACACCTACTCATGATACCATCTAAAAGTTAGCGAACAACGGAATGATTGGAATAGAAACGAATGGGGTACAAATGAGCAACCCTAGAAGCTGTACCCCCTAGAGTGCAACTCACTATAGCCTATCATATCAATGTTCAACATTTGACAAAGTGCAAGAACTGTCCAAGCGTGCTGGTGGAAAACCACCGGTTACTCACTCTCCATAGCATGTAGCGAGTGGTGGAGTACGGTAGGAGAGAAAGCGAGCTTGTGGCTGAGCCCCCAAATGTCATATCGTGTCCACAATCAGAAAATCAGACCATTTTGGTCTGGAAAAATAAGCCCTGACAACCGGTACAGCTCTACAAAGATTTATCAGGCAAGGCATCACTAGGCAGGATTCTACACTTTCAAGCATAAAAAAAAACAATACCCTTCAATGCGACGCGTACAACTCTACTAACTTAATCAAGCAAGGCATCACTAGGGCAGGAGCGATGGTTGGCAAGAAAGAATATACTACACTGGGCCTCATTGAGTAGAGTAAACATGGTGTCATTGAGTGGAGGGTGAAGGGGGTCTCCTTGAGTGGAGGGGAGAAGTCATAGAAGTTGCAGCATGTGGAGATGGCACCACGCTTGTTTCGAGACGTCTCAAAAGACGACACCACGCCTGTTTTAGTGATCCTCGTAATCCTCCTCATTGTCAGTGCACCAAATTGACAGATACCGTACTTTTGAGGTGCCTCAAAAGTGGACGCCTGTTTAGTAATCCAGATAATCCTCCTCGCTGTCACTGCACCAGACTGATAAACTATTGAGGCGCCTCAAGATGACACCACACCAGTTTAGTAATCCAGATAATCCTCCTCGTTGTCAGTGCACCAGACTGACAGATACAAACCAGGTTCCTCAGGCCGCCTGCTTGATCATAACAAGGGGAGGACAGCAAAGCAAGATTAGTACAAAGTTTCTCTTACGGTATAAGATTGGTCCCGAAATGGAAAGGGAAGAGCTGTCCAAGCGTGCTGGTGGAAAACCGCCACATACTCACTCTACATAGCTTGTGGCGAGTGCTGGAGTAGCAGAAATAGAGCCCCCAAATGTCATATCGTGTTCACAATCATCGAATTCGTAGGCGCGGTAATAGGGGCAATCCGGCGCATCTCTGATGTTGTAAACACTATACTGTGCCGTGAACGTTTGAGCCACTGCAGCTGGGACTTTAGTGCAGGCATTCAGGTTGAGGCGAAAGGTGTAGGGCTGAGAAGCTGCGTCCTTGGCTGTTGGATCTGCGACGAGTGTGTAGCTGATAGAAGAGACGGTGGTGGAAGCTACACCTGAAGAAAAAGAAGTACAAGCAAGGGGCCAGTGAAAAAGGTTAGAGGCAAGAGGGCAGAGATTGGGGTGCAATGAGTGTGTAGCTGATAGAAGAGACGGTGGTGGCCATTCCGCCTGAGAGAGGATGGAGTGGGGCGAGAGGGGAGAGGAGGGAGGGGGGCGAGAGCGGAGAGAAGGAAGGGGGGCGAGAGGGAATGGGACGAGAGGGGAGAGAAGTGAATGGCCCGAGTAGCGGAGAGTGGGGAGAAGGTGGAGGAGAGAGGGGAGAAGGCGGAGGAGAGAGGGGAGAAGGCGGAGGAGAGAGGGGAGAGTAGAGCGAGCATGTGTCGAGGAAACTCACCTAGACACTTTGAGAATTCTCAAAACTGAATCAGCATGAACGACACTCACTCACCCTCAGCACTTTTGAGAATTCTCGAAATTAAATCAGTGTGAACGACACTCACTCACCCTCAGAACTTTTGAGAATTCTCAAAAGCGAATCGAATGTGTGAATGACACTCACCCTCTGCACACCCGGTCGCAGTCATGTTATAGCCTTCAGGGTATGCGTAGTAAGGTGAGTGAGGAGAGGAGACAGCTGGGCGAGTGAGGAGAGGAGACAGCAGGGCGATTGATGAGAGGAGACACCAGGGCGAGTGAGGAGAGGAGACTGCAGGGCGAGTGAGGAGAGAGTGGAGACTCACCTTCGGCACACCCGGTGGCGGTTATGTTATAGCCTTCAGGGCACACGCAGTAAGGCACGAGCACAGAATTATTCCTTTCGAGTGGCACGGTCTTGCAGGTGGCTCCAGTGGGGCATGCGCCACAGGGTGAGTCTGCGGGGTGGGGATGGGTGCGGTGCGATATGTGAGTGCAATTGTCGGTAGGGATGGGTACAGGTGGCACAGGGTGAGGCTGGGGAATAAGGTAGGAAGAAGTGAGGAAGGCATGCAAGGGAGGAGGAAGGAAGAGAGGAGAAGCAAGGAAGAGTGAGAGAAGCAAGGGAGAAAAAGGTACAACGGCGGGATAAGCATCAATGGCGGGTGGGCGCGAGCGCAGAGCGGTATGTCTGTTGGGTTGCTGCTGAGGAGTGACGCTCCAGAGAAGTGAGAGGGAAGGGAGGTGGGGCGGCAAAAGTGAGATGGCATGGCTGCATGACTTGCAAAATTTTGACCCCACTGACAGCAGCGCCATGCTCACTCACACCACTTGCTCACTCACCCCACTTGCTCACTCACCCCACTTGCAGTAGCGATCTCCGTTTTGATCCACCTCACAGCTGCCGTCAGGCTCACATCCCAACGCCACACAGGCAGCATCTGCAGCAGAGAGGCAAGAAGGAAAGGGAAGGAAGAAAGGTTTGTTATGAGTCGACTCATTAGGAGTCGACTCATAGTCGACTTGTTATGAGTCACCAGGCTCACAACCCAACGCCACAAAGGCAGGATCTCCAGTGGAGGCGAATGGAAAGGGGCAACAGACAAAAGTGGGGAATACATATGGACGATGTAGGTAGTGCGCGCATGGCAGTGTGTGCATGGCAGTGTGTGTACGGCAGTGTGTGAATGGCAGTGTGTGCATGGCAGTGTGTGCATGGCAGTGTGTGTATGGCTGTGTGCATGGCAGTGTGTGTGTGTGTGAGTGTGTGTGTGTGTGTGTGTGTGTGTGTGTGTGTGTGTGTGTGTGTGTGTGTGTGTGTGTGTGTGTGTGTGTGTATGGCAATATGTGCATGACAGTGTTTTACGCCTTCAAAGATACGCCCTTCAGATACACGCCCTTCAGAGACACGCCCTTCAGAGATACGCCCTTCAGAGTCACGCCCTTCAGAGATACGCCCTTCAGAGATACGCCCTTCAGAGACACACCCTTCATAGATACGCCCTTCAGAGATACGCCCTTCAGAGATACGCCCTTCACAGACACGCCCTTCAGCGATACGCTCTTCAGAGATACGCCCTTCAGAGATCGCGCCCTTCATAGAATCACGCCCTTCAGAGATACGCCCTATAGAGAATCACGCCCTTCAGAATCACGCCCACTGAACGTACCACTGGTGGTGCTATCGGTGGTGCTGCTGTCAGTGCTGCTGTTGCCACTGGTGGTGCTGCCGGTGCTGCTGTCGCTGCCTCTAGTGGTGCTGTCGGTCGTGCTGCTGCCTCTAGTGGTGCTGTCTGTGCTGCTGTTGCCACTGGTGGTGCTTTCGGTGTTGCTGTTGCCACTGCTGGTGCTTTCGGTGGTGCTGCTGCCACTGGTGGTGCTGCCGGTGTCACTGTTGCCAGTGGTGGTGCTTTCGGTGTTGCTGCTGCCACTGGTGCTGCTTTTGGTGGTGCTGCTGCCACTAGTGGTGCTAATAGTGCTGCTTTTGCCACTGGTGCTGCTGCTGGTGGTGCTGTCGCTGGTGTCGCTGCCACTAGTGCTGCTGTTGGTGGTGCTGTCGGCGGTGCTGCTGCTGCTGCTGGTGGGGTGCTGATGCGAATCTTCTTTCTGCTTCTGCTGTGGCGGCACCCCCTACTGCTGCATAGCAACAGAGCAGAGAACAGATGCCACAGAAGCCCCTCTCCGGAGCTGCTTCTTTGTGCTTGGGAACCTAAGGGACGTGGCAAGTGGAAGCACAAACGATGAGAGCGTGGTTACTATCCCTTCCTCTCCCCTTCCTAATGCTATCCCTTTCCTAATGCTCTCCTCACCACTCGCCTCTCACAAAACACCACCCACCACTCACCACCCACCACCACCCGCCACTCACCAACACACACCAACCAAACACTCACTTGGCTCCCGGGTTGACCACGCTGCCCACCTCCGTGCCCTGGCAGCCGGCCATCTCAAAGAACTTGACTTGCGAGCATGCAAAACCTGCAGCCTTGCTGCTCCAATCCACTCACCTGGCCGCAGTAGTGCCCGGGTTGACCACGCTGCCAACCTCCTTGCCCCAGCAACCAGCCTTCCCAAACAGCTTCACCTGCGAGCATGCAACACCACTTGCTGCGCTGCCCGAATCCGCATTGCTCAGGGAAGCCCCGTTGCTCGAGCCCCCGTTGCTCGAGACCCCGTTGCTCGAGACCCCGTTGTTCGAGACCCCGTTGCTCGAGACCCCGTTGCTGGAGACCCCGTTGCTCGAGCCCCCGTTGTTCGAGCCCCCGTTACTGGAGCCCCCGTTGCTCGAGCCCCCGTTGCTCGAGCCCCCGTTGCTCGAGCCCCCGTTGCTCGAGCCCCCGTTGCTCGAGCCCCCGTTGCTCGAGCCCCCGTTGCTCGACCCCCCGTTGCTCGACCCCCCGTTGCTCGAGCCCCCGTTGCTTGACCCCCCGTTGCTGGAGCCCCCGTTGCTCGAGCCCGCACGGCCCTGCCACCACACTTGCACGGCCCTCTGCCTCGCGGCCCTCTTGGGCACGCTCACGCAGCGCTGCTTGCTGAACCTCAACCGCGCAGTACCCACCGCCACCGTTGTGGTAACATGCTGCTGCTGCTTGCTGCCAGTGGCAATGGTCTCTAGGGAAATCCTTGCCACCGTATCGTCTCCAGCTGCATACGGTTGTGGTAACGAGCTGCTTGCGGCGGTGGTGCTGCTGGTGGTGGTGCGGCCGGCAAGTGGTCTCGAGGGCAATCCTTGCCATAGTGTCTTCTCCAGCTGCATACGCAGCTTTCAGCATGCTACGGTGGGCCTTGTGGTGATTAGTGCTTGTCATTGTGTCATCCCCATACGCTGCCTTCACCATTTGAATCACTGCAGAGGGCACCGGAGAGGGTGTGCGGAGAAGAGTGAGCAAACATGGGAGGGCAGAGAGGGAAGCGAAGAGGACGAGCTGAAAATGCGGTGAGTCGTGCTTGTCACTGTGTCGTCCCCATACACTGCCTTCATCATCTGGACTGCTGCAGAGGACACGGGAGGGGACGTGCGGAGATGGTTTTTTAGGGCGTCTCAAAAATCCTTTCAGCATGCTTCGCAGTGCCATGCGCGGCTGAGTCGTGCTTGTCACTGTGTCGTCGCCACCATACGCTGCCTTCATCATCTGGACTGCTGCAGAGGACATGGGAGGTGCTGTGCGAAGAAGAGAAGAGAGAGAGAGAAAGAGAGAGAGAGAGAGAGAGAGAGAGAGAGAGAGAGAGAGAGAGAGAGAGAGAGAGAGAGAGAGCCGATGAGAGAGAGAGGAGAAAGCTGAGAGTAGAAGGGAGTGCGGAAAAAGGGAGCGAGCAGAAAGGAGGGAACAGGGAGAAGCGGCGCAGAGGACTAAGAGCTCACGAATCAACGACAAGGGGCTGCCACAAGTCGAAGATGTTACAACAATGAGAGAGCCCATGAGAGGGAGGCAATGTGAGAGCAGCAGACTGACCGGCGATGAGGGCCAAGGCGAGCAGCAGGAGTCTGGCAGGAGAGGCTCGCATGAATCCCATGGTTGCGGGGATTCCGTGGAAAGGCGGCCTAAGCGGCTGCGTCGGAAGTGGCGGCGCTGGAAGAAGCGGCAGAAGTGGCAACGCCGGGAGCGGGAGAAGTGGAGAAGAGGCTATTGAAGAGGAGTGACAGAGAGGCGCGAATGAGGAGGTTGTGCTGTCCAGTGCAAGCGCCCAGAGAACCGCGACAGGGAGGCGTTTTAGAAAGGCAGGGATGGGAAAAATAACACCCTAAACCTAGCAGGTTTGCTTCGGAAATGGCTGTGCAGCTGGGCTGGTATTCTACGATGCGAGTTACGAGCGCGAGTCACGCATGGCAGCCGCGGCGCCATCGTATTGCGAGAACGCGATACAACGTGGCACATATAATGCAGTGCTTGACTCCGCGAGTCACGGGGCGTCACGGGGTCATACGAGCGCGAGTCAAGCACGGTGAGCTGCGGCGCCATCGTAGAGAATTCTAGAAATCCGGTATGGGCTTGGCTCTAGTAAGACATTGACTCATTGGGACGATATAGATTGGTTTATAAGAGCGCAATATGCGGGGATGTGGGCTTTGCTCCCAGGCGATTAACTTTGCGACGATGCAATCACCCTACGATTTCAGGAACGGGATGTGTGCGACGGCTTTATCGGCGGAGAGTCCCTAAGTCATTGGGTAGCTAAGCGAGGCGTTATATTAGTGGTGGTTGACTGGGGTAATTGCATTTGGTACCAGCCAGTTGCACGCACGATACAAGCCCCTATTTTGATCGCAGCCATTAAACATACAACTTATCACCCTGGCATCCATCCGTTCGTGAGATATTTTGAAGAATCTGGTTACATTTCTTCAGCTGCCCACTTAAGTCCCGATTTTCCCCGTGGCGAATGTTGGCGAGCAGGCGAAATGGCTTTTGCTTACTAAACACCCAAATGACGGGTAAAGTTGTAGGTATCTAGCGGACTTCTGGTGTACACAAATGCGACTCTAATCGGAGAGAGGAAGCGAAGTTGCGAATCTAGCCTGACTGGTTGTTTGAGTGACTAGCAACCGACATTCAAACGACCAGCCGTTCCAGAGGCCAGCCGTTCCAGTGAAGTCGTTAGTCAAACATGGGCCCAGTTCTGTTGCCGCACTACTGGTGCGGACCCCTCCGCACAGCACCAGATGATGCTTCGTAAGATTCCTTTTCAAGGGCGTATTCCTTAAAACAGGCTCGGGATCTTGAACTCTATCCCGAACCTGGCTAGTGCTGTGCTGTGATATGCGGCCCACCTAGTGCAAAAGAACGTTGAACTAGTAGTGCTGTGCTGTCCCCTCCTCCCAGGCAAACTGCTTGCGAGATTGGATCCCGCTCGGAGCGCGGACCCAGCGACAGCACAAGTAGTCACGGGCAGGGATTGGTTGGCGAAAGTCTTAGTAGTTGCGAAAAGGGTGGCAAGAAGATAGCACGTTCCTTCGAATCTATTGATGCATGCCGAGCCTCTCGACGCACAAGTAGTGCTGTGCTGAGCTGTCCGCCCACCATTTGCCGGTGGGCAACAGAACAGGGCCATGGAGGTTGGACGACTGGCTGACCTGGTGACGCGTTCGGATTGAACTAGCCCCTCGAGGAGACTTTTCTGTTGGAATCGCGAAAGTATCGTGCCTCGACGAAAAATCTGCGAAAAAGGTAACCCAGGCTAAAGTGTCAGAGACGGTTGCGTATTTTCGTTCTGCAAGATAAATACTCGTTGTTAACCTACCCAAGGACAAAAGAGAGGCTCGCAAAACAATTCGCGCAAAAAAGAAGGATCTTGCCTGTAACAGTGGTGTACGCACTACAATCTCTCGGGAAAACCCCACATCGCTGAGGGCGTGTTGCGAGCGCAAAAAGCGTAAGATCGCCGAACCGCTCACCGAGCGTGACAATAGATCCTGGGCTCGGTGTATGAGCCTCGATACAATCGATCCGCAAAAAAATCACTGAGTTTTGTACCACGATTGCCTAATGACAGTGCATTATTGGCGAGCTCACGATCAATCGTAACTACCAAAGCGATCGATCTGGCACTCGCCACCTTTTTCAGTCTTGCAACGTGTTGTACTATAGAATGTCAAGAATAGAACTATGAATTAATGATTGAACTAGGCAAGAGGTGAGTACAAGTAGGGGAAACCTAACCCTAAAGTGTTGTACTCACTAAGGAGTGACCCTACTGTAGCCTAGAGATACAATTGTAATCTGGCACACCCCCATAGGCAAAGTAGGGGATAGCAAACACAACAAGCGGTCACAAGACCAGTCTGCAGAAGAGAACACAGCTCAGGGTGGATCACAAAGTCACCACGCATTCTGAGCACAAGCAAGTAGCCACAAGGCCAGTTCACATGCAGAGGTATTTAATAGCAAGGCAGTACACTGATCACAACCTAACAAGAGAAAACATGCAGGTATAAAGATATATAGCAGTGTACAACAAGAGCAAGTCAAGCAACTAACAGGTGAGGCAGAGTGGGCACAAGCCCAAGAGTAGTGCAGAAACGGTGATGATCACCAGACCCAAGGGCCTTGGTGAAGACATCAGCACTGTTGGCCCGAGAGGCCACATAAGCAAGGCGCAGCTGACCACGCTGCTGCAGCTGACCACGCTGCTGCAGCTCACGCGCAAGGAAGTAGCGAAGAGCAATGTGCTTCGTTCTATTCTCCAGTCTCTGCTCGCGACACAAGGCAAGCATTGCCTTGTTGTCGACGTACAGAACTGGAGGAGAACGAGGTCGCTCCCCCAAGTCGGTCAGCAGGTAGGTCAGCCAGCGTAGCTCCTGTATAGCCATGGCCCCAGCGTAGATCTCGGCCTCACAGCTGGAACCAAGCACAGAAGAAGAACGAGTGGACCTCCACGAGACAGAACCAGAGCCAAGACTGAAGGTGTAACCCTGTGACGAACGCTGAGTCGTCTGGTCGTCGGCCCAAGAAGCGTCAGAGTGTCCTGTGAGGACCACCGAACCCCATCCTCCAAGCACGAGCCCCATGCCCAATGTGCTACACAAGTAACGCAGTACCCTCTTCGCAGCATCAAAGTGCACCTTTCGGTGTCTACCAGGTGCCACGTAGCAAGCCACAAGCTCTGGGTATGGACCACTCGGCTCTACGGACTCGTCCGAAGGTGGAGCTGAGAGCGAGTGGCCGGTAGACATAGGAGTGGGCTGTGGCGAGGACCACGTGAAGCGGAAGCGCTGAAGGACCTGCTGCACCATGTGTGACTGAGTCAGGGTGATGGTGCGCCGTGCTCTATCCCGGGTGATCTGCAAGCCAAGATAGCTCCGCAGCTCACCCAAGTCAGTGCAGGTGTGTCTCTCCTGCAGCTCCGCCTTCACTAGGGTCAGTGCCTCAGTGTCAGCAGTAGCAAAAACCAAGTCGTCGACATACACGAGGATGTAGAACGGTGGCAGAGTAGTGTCGGTGCGTAGAAACAGCGACGGGTCAGCAGTCGAAGGAGCAAACCCAAGAGCCGCAAGTGACGTCCTCAGTGTCTCGTGCCACTCACGGGGCGCCTGACGCAGGCCGTACACTGGTCGCCGTAGGCTCCACTGGGTTCCCTCAGGAAACGACCCAGTGAAGCCCTGTGGACGGCGCAACCAGATGGCCTCGTGAAGGCTACCCTGCAAGAAAGCTGTCGAGAAGTCGAGGGAGTGCAGCTCGTAGTCACGCTGAGCAGCGACGTGCAGCAAAACCCGAAGAGTGGTCATCTTCGGGGTCGGGGAGAAGGTCTGGAAGAAGTCAACTACCTGTCGCTGACTGAAGCCTCGAGCAACGTAACGTGCCTTGAAGGCAGGCGGAGAACCCGGCGGTCACTTCACCCTGAAAATCCACATGCCACTGACGATGTTCGCCCCAGGTGGGGGAACCTCGTCGACGTAGGTGCCTGTGGACTTCCAGGAAGCCATCTCTGCGTCCATGGCTGTCTGCCACTGAGAGGAGTACTCACCCGAAATTTCCTCCCTGTAGGAGCGCGGGTTGGGGATGTCAAGTGCATCCGGGTCTCCCTCAGGGGCAAGCAGCATGGTCGCGTGATGGGGTGAAGCGGCAGCAAGGCACTCCAGCTCCTCCTGTCTGTCCTCAAGAACGTCGCAGCCAAGGGCAGTACAGCCAAGAGCAGTCTCACCCCCAACGGACGGAGGACAGGCAGGGACAGGGTCAGAGACAAGTCTTGCAAGGTAGTCTAGGCGGTACACAGCAGCAAAGTCAACGAGCTCAGCTACGAGGGCAGACGCAGCAGGAG